CTTACAAATAAAGTTTTTAACATTACGCCTACCTAAAATTACTTGTTGAGTTCGGTCAGTTAAATAACTTTTGAACCACTTGAGTGTTTTATTATCAAAACCATAACATGAAAGCTTAGAAATCAGTAAGTTTGTGTTAATTGAGTCAACGGCCCTTGAAAAATCTAATAAAGTGAGAATAGTACCTTCTCCAGAATCCGAAAAAGATAATATATCATCCACGACATTAATAAGAGCTGTTGCTGTTCCGTAATTTTTTCTGGAACCTGATTGTATTTTTCGAAAACCTTTTTGTCTTCTACCGAATGAAAACGGGTGCCACTAAATGGTAATTAGAGTTTAGGAAAAATAAAGAAGTCGGCTGGAGTCATATCTGGTGAATAAGGTGGTTGCTCGATAGTATTTGTTGAGTTTTTGGTCAACAATTCGTTCACAACGACGGCCTTGTGCGAAGGCGCATTATCGTGGTACAAATACCAAGAATTTTCTTTCAACAAATCTGGCCTTTTTCATCTAATTTGCTCTCTCAAACACCACATAACGCTCAAATAATATTCTTTATTTACCGTTTGACCTTCCGGCAAGATCCGAGTGCAAAACACCGCGATAGTCGAAGATAACAGTCAACATGACTTTGACTTTTGATCGAATTTGGCGTGGTTTTTTCGGTTTCGATTCAGTTGGAAGGCGCCTATCCGAAGCTTGTTGACTAGTTTGCGTGTCAAACTCGTAAACCCACGTCTCGTCACCAGTAACAATGCGTTTCATGAATGTTAGGTCGGAATTGACTCGTTCTAGCGTGTCCTCAGCGGCTCTTATGCGATTGAGTTTTTGGAGAAAATTCAAGTCTTTTGGGACTTGTCGAGCGGCAACATGTTTCATACCAAATTGATTATTTAAAATGATGCGGATCGACTCGTGACACATAGAAAGTTCGGCGCCTATCGCTCTCAAACTTGAATGAGGATTTTCAGTCACTATTTCCTTCACTTTTGCGATGTGATCCTCATTATTTTTGAAGTCAGCTCACAAGTAGGCCTGGGTATAGAATTTTTATAGATATATTTTGTCACACTGTCCTATTTGTTATTAATTCCGTGAACGCTCAATTTTGCCATCAGCTCCAAAATTTTTACACTGCAACATTAAGCTGCCATTTTACGCTGGTATTATGTGAGAGCGTCGTCCATCTCCATTCGTGATACAACCATAATATAGCTGAATTTATTTTTTCTAGTAGCAAGTATAGAATTTACGAGGTGAAATATTAAGAGAACAATGTTGCAGCTATATTAAGGTTGCACGAATGGGTCGGCTCGACCGAACTGATTTCATAGTTTCTTTTAGTGAAAAACATCGTATTCGAGTATATATCATACAGTACTCCCCGCGGTGTACGAACCCGTGCGGGATTCGAACCCGCGGCCCTTAGCGCTGCAACTCATTGCTATGCCACTGCGCCACGGAGCCGTATATTAAAAATTAAATAGGTTTAGGTAAAAATCTAAAAAACGACAAGAAAATAATTAAAATTGTTGACTCAAAGAAGACAAGATGGAAATTAGTTAAAGTAAATAATGTGGCGTTATCTGGATACATACATACCTCAAAACCTGAAAACGAAATTGTACAACCAGTGCGTGTTGCTAGTGATTACTTACGGATTTGAGGCGTGGTCCTTCACTGCTGGCCGTATGAAGAAACTCAAGGTCGCTCAGCGAGCTATGGAGAGGGCTATGCTCGGGGTTTCTCTGCGTGATAAACTTAGAAATGAGGATATCCGTAGTAGAACCAGAGTAGCCGACATAGTCCAATGGATTAGTAAGCTGAAGTGGCAATGGGCCGGCCATTTAGCTCGAAGAACCGACTACCGATGGGGAAAAAAGGTTCTCGAGTGGCAGCCTCGTACCGGTAGGTGAAGTGTAGGGCGACCCCCCACGAGATGGAGTGCCGACCTGGTAAGACATGCAGGAAGTCGATGGATGCAGGTGGCTCAGGACCGTGCTTTTTGGCATTCCTTGTGGGGGCCTATGTTCAGCAGTGGACTTATGAAAGGCTGTAATGATGATGATGATGATGATGATGATGATTATCTGGATTCAAGACAAAGACTTATTTATTCTATCAATTATTGTTTTTACAAAAAAATGTTAAGTATTTCGAATACAAGTCGTAAAATTAAAAATTATGTATAGCCGCCTCCAATATAAATAAAATGAGATTGATTTCTGGATCTCGACAACAATGCCACCTACCGGGATCAATTGTGAATCAAAACTATTCTCTAATCAACTTAATCACACACAAAAAAATTCATCAAAAACCGTCCAGCTATTTAAGAGGAGTCCAGTCACTTACACACGGACAGAAAAATTATATAATATTTAATATGCATGTATTAAACGTATAAACTTTTCTCTTAAATCACTCTATCTATTGATGAAAATTGCATCAAAATTTGTTGTGCAGTTTAAAATATTTAAGCGTATAGAAGGCGGGAAGCGATTTTGTTTTCTACTTTTTAGAGATATCACCCAAATAACCCCCTGAGCTTAATAGAAGCCAGATATTTCAATATTACAGACAGACACCTCAATTTTATACATATGTATAGATATAAACGTGTAAGGAGGAAATCCTTTGACAGCGCGCTATTACCTTTCGACGTCTATTGTAATAAAATATGATATTTGAATTACTACGCAGTTCTGATTTCCTGAGAGAAAATGTGTGACACGGTAAATTTCACTTCAATATGAAGCTTCGATGTTAAATTTGAATCGAGTCTCCCCAATCCCCACTTACCGTCTAATTTGAAATGACAAAAAACGACAGCATATCTTCTCTTACCTTTTTTTATAGGAGAAGGGTGACAAACGAGCACATAGTCCACCTGATGGTAAGTGGTTGCTGTGACCCATAGACATCTACATCTATCTTCGATTACGAATCAAAATGCAGATGCGTTGTCACCCGTGAGGACTAAGATGGAATGCCTCGTTTCTAATAAAAAGGGTCTCCGGTTCTCTATACTCGCCATACGATACACAGCAGCGTTAAGCTGCTATTTTACGCTGGTATTCTGTGAGAGCGTGGTCCTTCCCCGGTCGAGCCGACCCATTCGTGCTACAACCATAATATAGCTGCAGCATGGCTCTACCACGTATTATTACCTGCAAAAGTGCAGGGAAAATGTCATAATCGCTTGGCATTACAGGTATATTGGCATTCGCAGTACCAGACGTCTCACAATTTTGATGCTGCTCGCCGTTGCCGGTCTAGATATTTTCAGAATATCATGAGAAGAGGTGAGATCTTTTTGGCATTTCCCATCGTCACCTCTTTCGACTTTCACGAAATTGTGTGATGGTTTCGCGGATGCCGTTAATACACGGCACATATATGTAAGTACATACTATATTATACGTTAGTGCCGGTGGTTTGGTAATGTAGAAAGAATGAACGAGGAAAGAGTGACAAAGCAAATTTATGATTCAGAAATGAACGGCTGAGACGGAAAGGGACGCCCTAGACCAGGGGTCGGCAACCTGCGGCTAGCGAGCGACATGCGGCTCTTTGGATGTGAAGCTGCGGTTCTTTAGTTTCATACGCAAATATTATTTATTTTATAAAAAAAAACATTTAACAATCGATCCACACTGAGCCATTTGGAGTTGATACTGGATCTCTAGAAATGCAATTGATCGATTTAAAAAGTAAAGCTTTGTGGAGTTAAAAATCTACAGAGTTGAAAATCAATTTGAAAGGGTTGGAGGTCCAGAAATGAATGAACGTAACGCAACAAAAATGAACAGCTTTAAAAGAAATGGCTCGAGTTGAGGATATTTGAAATTTGCATTCAACAGGCGTGTCCTTCCGCTGACTTTGTAAAGGTCACCGTCGCCCCCTCTCCCGTGTGGGTCGCTCGGCAGAGGGCGCGAGCGCTGGCCACCTGTGCGAAGTCAGTAGCTTTGGTTTTGATGGTCTAGAGTTTGAGTGACAGAAGGAAACTGAAACAGAAGATAGGCAACTGCATCTTTCTTAGAACAACTTAAAATAATGAAAAACTGCGGTCGCCAACCCGCCTGACAAGTTTGGCAACTATGGTAAACTACCCCCTACGAGGCAATCTATGTTCAGCAGTGGACTTTTGATAGGCCGAACGGTAAAAATAACGGTAACGATATTCTACAGATAGCTTACAAGCTACATTACAATATTTTTTGTTAATATATCCACAGACAAGTAAATTTAACTCTCCGACTTGAAGAAGGTCATGATAAACTCAAATAAATTTGTATTACAAATACAACTAAGTTAGCGCGCCCAAAATTACACGCCTTAAGTTAAATAAACTCCTTTATTATTTACCATCACGGTACAAACTGTGCTGCATTACTAATTAGTTACGTAGTTACAGATTAAATAATAACAGCGTCATAACCTAGAACAAATTGCTAACCAAACATTAAATTTGATTAAAATAGGTAGGTACAGTTTATTAAATGAAGCTTCTTGTTACCGCTTACGACTGCAAATTCATTTTTAAACTTTTGAGGTAGGTATAAACATACTGGCCGAGGAACTGGACGCTTAAGAAAATCAACGTAAAAGAATGAAGACGTTTACATTTTTTATGGATAAATTATAAAAATTTGAGTAAAATAAATCAAACACGTGAAAGAATCAATAAAATATCTCTAGAAATGTAAAAGTTAGGGGTCTTTGAAGTTGCGCTTGCAAGAATACCTAATTTTGTTACACGCGGCGCTCCATCATTTGACGTCATTTAACCTAACCTAGTTACGTTAGTACTATTAATTATTCTGTACTATAGTCGCTTGCGCCGTTCGATTCGTATTTTGTTTATTACCCGATGGCAGAACTTAAAAAAATTCCTACTAATATTGTATTGTTCCTATGTAACAACAGTTAAAAATCCCAATTTTTTTTTTCGTGTACCAAATAATATAACAACAAGGAAAAAGTGATGCAAACTAATGAAGCGTGATTTAATTGGACCTAAGAGTACTAAATATGTGTGTGAAGATCATATTGATGTAAGTAACTATTAATAATAGCTGCCTATTTCTAAATGAGTATATAATTACAAAAAATATAATTATATATTAATATACCTATTGAGTCGTAAGTAGGTTTGAAATAACTTATTCAGTAAGAATAACTATATATTTTATGTAAATGTATTTGTTATTTACTAAATATGTATGTAAGTACTTTAAAAATCGAATTTATTTACAGGTTGAAAATGATACAGAAAATTTAGTCAAACATCGACTAGTTGCCTACATATGTCCTCATAAATTTGACTGTCAAAAAGCGGTGAAACCTCAAAAAGAACGAGCATATGAAAAAAACGTCGAATTGAATTTTATGAAAAAATTCAATCATCTTCGTTTCATTCTTTTAAAATGATTGAGTGTGAATGAAAACAAAGGATCCGCTACCAGAGAACATTACTTTTAACAATAATTATCCAAATAAAAGGAGAAACAAAGCAGTTCAAGTAAATATCAAAACTTCACAGAAAAATCAAGCAGTGCAAACAATCATAAGAAGGAACTGTGCGAAATATAAGTACAGGAAATAAGTGCCCCCAAATCATTTATGAATCACTCTCCATCGAGAATATCGATATCTTCTCTTAGCAGTTCTCCTTCAAAAGCATCAATATTTTCACTGAGCAGTACAAGTTCAGCAAGTTCCTTCGCAAGCACAATCAAGCCTCAATATCGCAATGATACCATAAACAAAATAACTAAAAACGTTATTTTTTAATGGGGCTGCCAGAAGAAATCTGAAAGTGTTGCTAGTCCAGTAAGAGATATTTTGATATCATTGAAAAAAATTCGTTTAGACTATTCCTATAGATTTCGATATATGTAAAAGCTCAGTTTGTAAAATATTCAATAAAACTGTTCCCTTAATAGCTGACCGAATGAAACAGTTAATATATCTTACACCTATCGAAGAAATTAGTGAAAAGTTACCAATATCTTGAAAGAGATATTCAACTACAGTGAGTATTTTGGACTGTTTTGAAATAAGAATCGAAAAATCTTCAAATGCAATGCAACAGGCTTTGACGTGGTCCGAGTATAAACATTGTAATACAATGAAATATTTGATTTCCATTATGTACACCTAATGAACTTCATTTCTGAAGGTTATGGGGATAGAGACGCGACACAATAATATTTTAAGATTGGGGCTTTTTACAATATTTTCACCGAGATTTTCTGTAATGGCTGACAGAGGATTTAAAAACGTATATCATTTCTTAAACAAAATGTAAATGCGTGTACAAAGAATTGTACATTTCATAAAGTATGATCAAAAGTTATTGTAAAATATTTTAAAACTATTGATTTTAAGAAAACTGCGATTCTGTGGGGGATTTCCGTTAAAGTTATTGCGTCTATAATAGATACAATCGCGCTTCATTTAGCCATTATTTTTAATACTCGAATCTGGTGTATTTCCTGATTTAATGAAGCATAGTAAAGTAATACCTTTATATTATTTCTGTACTGCCAACACTTTTTTCAAAAAAAATATTCTTGATCAAGTATTAAGTTTCTTTAATATAAATAATTTACTTCATAAAAATCAATTTGGTTTCACAAGGGGTCGCTCGACAACTGATGCCGGTGTTGAGCTGATTAAATATATCTTTAATGCATACAGGATGCTTTGGATATATTCTGTGACCTATCCAAGGCCTTCGATTGTGTTCACCATGAAACATTAATCAGAAAACTTCAATACTACGGTGTAAGAAGTGAGGATCTTAAGTTAATTACTTCTTATTTAAGTAAGAGAACGCAAAAAGTTGTCATTAACAGTATGAGCTCTTCCGGGTCGATAGTACAAATGGACGTGCCTCAAGGTTCGATTCTCGGCCCCTTTCTGTTTCGTGTATACATTAATGACTTACCTAACATAGTAGGGGATAACCATGATATAGTGTTATTTGCAGATGACAGACACTTCTTTAATTTTCAAATTAAGTCGACAATTACTAAAATATGACGAAGTAAATAATGTTATATCTAAATTAGTAAGTTGGTTCAATGTTAATAATTTGCATTTAAATGGAACTAAAACGAAATGTATGAAATTTATGACTCCAAATGTCAAACAATTAAATACTAATGTAATTTTAAATGGGGAGAAACTGAGTCTTGTAGATACCACCATTTTTCTTGGAATCACACTAGACGCGAAGCTTCAATGGAGCCCCCATATATCAAAACTAGCAAGCAGACTTAGTTCTGCAGCATATGCTGTAAAAAACATTAGAAGTCTTACCAGGTTGAAACAGCTAGACTAGTTTACTGAAGCTATTTCCATAGCATAATGTCGTATGGTATTTTACTATGGGGACACGCAGTTGACACTGAAATTATATTTGTTTTACAGAAGAGGGCCATAAGAGCAATTTATGATTTAAATCCTAAAGAGTCGCTGCGACAAAAATTTAAGGAAATTAATATATTAATTTTGACCTCTCAATATATTTATGAAAATATAATGTACGTACACAAAAATAAAAGTAGTTTTACAGAAAAAAGTGATATTCAATCTGTAAATGCTAGGAACAGGTACAAGCTAGTAGTACCAGTTACTCGACTCCATCGAGTCAGTAATTCGTTCTTGGGGCGATTTATACGCTTTTACAACAAAATTCCAGAAAATATACAAAATTTGACCTGCTCGAAGTTCAAAAACTTTATTAAACTACGTTTGTATAAAAAGGATTACTATAATTTTAAAGAATTTATGGATGATAATAACCTCTGGAAATGAGTTGATCGCTACCAAGCTATTTCTAATTTGTTGTGTTGTTAATTTGTGTAACATACGTGATTGTAAGCTGTTATTTAAAAAAAAGTCCCGCTGGGTTACTTGTTGGCTCTTCCCTGGACAGAGTTTTTTTTTCGAACCAGTGGTAATTAAACAAAAGAGTGACTTTCAATAAGTATTATTTATAATCTATATTGAATAAAAAAAATTCTGTTTCTGTTACAAAACAAGGTAAAGGATGTCATCTAATAAGGCCTCCTAGCGTAACCGAAGGCAAAGCTAGTTCGAAACTGGAAGTCATGGAAACAAAATGTATAGCAGCGCTCCGCATAAATTTTGAAAGAACAAGCGGCAGATTAAGAATTTATTCTATGGTAGCACCTCACACTTGCATCAATACTAAAGTAATTTATTTGTTAAATTTCATGAACATCAACTAGTTTAGATGTGTCAAAATCTGCACGAGCAATCCAAAAAAAACCTATTGATTTATTCGCGAAGTGCATTTGTAGTTGTACTTGAGCTTCACATTTTGCTGTCAATTTTGCATTGTTGATGTAATTTTTCATGGTTTCAGTTTTCAGCGGACATTTAATTTCAATAGTATGTTCTGCTGTTATGCTGTCGGGAGAGGCCCCTAACATAGAATGTTCCTTTGACCAAAAAAGACCGCACTTCCCATCTTAACTTATTTTAATAGTTGCAATGTGTGCTCTGACTTGGCCTGAAATACGCGAATATTTATACATTAATATCAAATTTATAGTCGTTATTAGTTAGTTTTATACCTCTCTGTATAGCAAACGGTTCTTTAAATTGATAAGCTCCTAAAAATTTTTCTACAACTACACCATCTGCAGTGTTACATTTCGATGCTTCATGAGCTATTGACGCCGTAATCCTGCCGTATCAGAGTTTAAACCAAAGTAAAGTAGCAGATTAATCTTTTGTCGCTTTTTGTATCGAAACACATTGCTCTTCAGTAATATTGTGTATATCAAAATATATCAAAATTCTTTAAAGTTATTCACACTGAATATGTCTTTTTCACTTTTGTATTTGCAGATCAGATACATAGTGAAGTGAAACTTTCATCTCAATGTTAATATCCATTAAGTAGGTCATATTTGCACGTTGTTAGTTTTACGATTTTTACATTCCGATACGAAGTTATTAAAAAAGCTTGTATCTTCAGTAAAATTTAAATCAGAAATTTTTTTTAAACTTTAGCTTTTATAATTTGAATATGACTACCAACTTTAGAAAGTGCTGGTTTTGTCCAGTAAGATTTTATTGTGGTAGTGGCATGTTGCTCACTTCTTATACAGAGCTATATCAAAAATGCAACAGTGTGTTTGCATTTTCCTTGATTAGCAGCATAATCATGACAGACTACGCTTTCCACCATTCCTTCGTTTTCATCACAAACCAACGTGCATAAGGCTTACTTTTCACTTTATGTTGAGGTGAAGTTCTGCATTTCACTGTTTTTTTAGAGCTTTCACGTTTCACTTGAACGTATCCAATAGCTTCATCTCGGTAAGATGTTCGACCGGCCCTGAAATAATATCGATACATTTGATATCGTTTCCATCAATACAACACGGCGGGCAATACACATATGTATTGTAAATATGACGATCCAAATAACCAGTACTTAAGTACAATCTGTTTATGAAACGTTTTTTATTTAGAAATCATAGTTGGCGGTCGGCGGCTTTCGTGGGCTCGGGAGCATTTACCATTGTGTGACGAACAATGGTCTTTGGTGCTGTTCACCGATAAGTCCCAGTTTGGGTTTCATCCGGTATCACGAATAACACACGTTTGGAGAACTCCAGGGAGAGTTAGCCGTCTACGCACGCTCAGGAGGTCCACCCACTTTAGGCGGAGGAAACCAACTCATTTAGATCCAAAGCAGCATGACTATACAAAAATACCACGAAGAGATAGTAGAGTCTGTTATTGTCTCACACAGAAACCAAATGGGCCAGAAATTTCTACTCGTGCACGATAATGTTCCTTCCCATACGGCGTGGCTGGTGTCGGCCGCTCTCTAAGACGACGATATTCAAGTTTTGGATTGGCCTGCACAGTCGTCCGACTTAATTCCTATCAAGCATGCCTGCACTTGCAAAGAACATGGGACCTCTTACCGCAGCAAGATATTGACAATTTAATAAATTAATTAATATAAAATGTAGCAACACTGGTTATTAGTAATTAGATTTTATAAGATTTTTTGATTTAATTTTGATTATAAGAAGAAATGAAGTTTCTTTATCACACTAATTTTCTACGGAGATTAAAAAATTAACATTTTTATTTAAAACAAAAATATGGCCGATGAAATAAACTTAAAAAGCTTAACTCCTTTTATTTCAGCACTAACATAAGACGGACTTAAAGAAAATGTCCATCACTGTGTAACAATAATAGGCAAATTATCACTTTGTCCTTTGACGAAGCCTTCTTCCATTATAGTGAAATAAAAACCACTCACTCATAAATAAAAAAGAAACAAACCACTGTACGTAAATAAACTGGCGCAACTCTAAACTAATACTCGAATTATTCGTGGTGCGACGATTTCGGTTAGGTCAAATGAC